GTGCTACCGTTTTATAGATGTAACTCAAGCACCAACCTTTCTAACTAGGCACCCATTATATACTTCTTGCCCTTATTCAGTTTACAACAACCCCGATATCCACATTTGGACTGTCTCCTTACCCAGATTCTTTATTGGTCTCTCTCTTACTTCCAGCTGGCAACCCAGAAGTGTCAGTCTGCCCAGGCTTTAGGTGCTTAAAGGACACCCTCCCCTTTGTTCATACTTTCAGAGCATATGCCCTTTTCCTTCGGTGCGACAATTCAGTAGTTCAGCTGGTGTGTCCTCCGCCAGTGGACCTAGTCACTCAGTTCTTCAATCTCGGGCCCCAGTTTGAATTTAGCCCTCCTGTGATACCATCAAAGATCACTGCTACCTTCAAATTCGGGACTTGCCAAATAGGTTTTTGGTTATTTTGGTTTCTCAGATTTATTACACCAAAGCTCTCATAACTAGATGGTGTGACCGAAATTACAGATTTCTAGATTTAATCAATAATTAACAACTGTAAACCGTAGTATAGACTATTTTTCAAAATTTGTCGTCCGTAGAATTTGAACTCTAGACCTGCTACTTGGAGAAGGTGATGCAAAGTCTTTTTTTAGAATTTAGAAGTACAACAAATTATATATTTTTTTAAGCTACACTTTTTTTACCTAGTTAAGTAATTCATTTTTACTCTCTCTTATCCTCTTGTCAGTCTTCCAAAAAATTTTCAATAAAAAGTAGGAATTTGGCTTACCTTCTTCAAAAGATTAGCACTGTTTACTTTTCAAATTTAAACAGATTAGTGGAATGCAACCACATATTTATTTATAGACAAATATGGTGCTACTTCATAGGACTCGGTCTAGGAACTCTAATTATAGCAGCAGATGGCTTGAGATACAAGTTCTCAGATGATGGCAGCACTTGACTTGAGATATAAATCAAGATGGGCAACAAAGCGATCCAGAGTTGGTAGGAAAGTCAGAAAGTAAATTTAATGTTAAGGCGAAGCTTTACAGTAGAGATATACAAATATTGCATTTGTTATATAATTTTTATTAATCTTGTATGAGCTATAATAGTGCCTTTAAAGTTTTAGATTTCTTTTTATATTTTTCTTTTTCACAATCAGTATTTTTTTTTTCTTTCTGTTTTTTCTTTTTTTGGTTATTTTTATAAATTTTCTTTTAAAAATTTCCATCCTTTGTCTTATACCTCTTGAGAAAAAGAAAAAATTAGAAAAGAAAAAAGAGATCCTGACACAGTATACAACAACCTGTCAAATGATTGAGGGAATATTGTTTTGACGATCAAAATCTGAAGCAAGTTTTAGATCCTGAGTAAGACTAATAGTTGTTATAGCAGGTTGTATTGGATAGTATTAGGTACATCTGGTGAGTTTTTTATTAGACTAAAAACTATTCACTATATGAAAAACATATGTACTTTGCTACAGTGTATTCACATAGCAGTTCATATAAATCAAAAGCAAGATTGCTTAAAATAAAAAAATATAAAAAAATATAAAAAAACTTATATCTTGTAATTTGCCAAGCCGATTTTAATATTTTAACTGCTATATTGATAACAAAACACTCTTCTACAACTTTATTTAGAAGTTGAAAAGATTCCAAAAATAATACTACTTTTTACTATGGTATGTTTTGTGAACGAGTTCGACAGGGCGGCCCCTCCAAAGTCCGGTTACATGATGGTCGATGATCCACACCCTGCCGGATACATGATTTTGATGATCAACACTCTCCCACAGCATATTGTTTTATTTCATATGTGAAGTCATTATCATACTCTTTTTGTGATAATGATTATTGCGGCGGAAGTCGAACATCTACCATCATGCATCCGGCAGGGTGTGGATCATCGACCAACATGTAACCGGACTTTGGGGGGGCCGCCCTGTCGAACTCTTTTGTGAACAGTCGGAAAATGCAAAGTTACTTGTTTGATGTTTTAATATTTGATGCATCAATAAAGTAACTTTGTATCATCATGCATAGAAATTAAAGGTCTTTCACTTCGTTCCAAACAATTGTTATTTTAATTTAACAGTACATTAACTATTCTAGCATGTTTCATTGTTTTCAATAGGGACCTGATATTTCCACACCTCTATATAGATCACTTTTTTTAAAACTTTGATCAAAGGTATCTCGGAAACCGCCTAATCAAATTTTTTTATTTGAATTCTACAGATTCATAGAATTCGAATAAAAAAAAAGCACGGAATTTTATCAGGTAGTTGTCGTGATACCTTTAATAAAAGTTAGATAAAGGTTTGCCATGGCTAATATTTTGATAGACGTTGAAATTTTTTTAAAACTTTAATCGAAGGTATCTTGACAACCATCTGATCAAATTCAACGAATTTTTTTTTTTTATTTGAATTATACAGATTCATAAAATTCGAATAAAAAAAAAGCTCATCTAATTTGATCAGATGGTTGTCAAGATGCCTTCGATCAAAGGTTTAAAAAAGGTGATCTACATTGGGTGTGGAAATATCAGTCTCCTTTCAATATTATATTAATTTAACAGTGCATTAGCTATTCTAGCATGTTTTATCATTTTCAATATTTATATCTCAGACGAATAATTTGGGTCAACTACGTGAGCAACAGCAAATATGTAAACCAATCAAATGAAGTGCTTCATGTAAGTTTTGGGATTATTATCAGATTGATATTTTCAAGGCATTCAATGAGTAAAGTTAAAGGAAAACTAATGTAATGAATAATCATCGGTAAGTGAGTATCTTGAACATAATGTTCTAGAGAACATATAAGAAAACTCGGATTAATTTTTATTTTTTTCTCGAAGGTAATCTTCGATAATGAAATACTAGTGACAGTTGTTCAAGATATCTTGATGTCTAGAAATTTTCCTTAATATGTTTAGAGATAAATCTAAAAATTCAAACCCTTAATTTTACTGATTACTACCTATTTCCTTCATTGATCATCGTTGATTATCTTTGATTTTCAAGAAGCGATTCATTTTCGATACCGACTTCGAGATAGGTGTGTACCTTTTTCAAAAGTGGAAATTGACGCTATGATTGTTTAAGTTGAATAATTCGCACTTTCCATTTGCCTAATTCTTTAATATTTTTTGGCAAGTGAAAAATGTGAGCATGAAATACAATTTAGATAAATTCAGACTAATCATTATTATCATGTCAAGAAGATAAAAACTGGTTTAATTTTATAAAATCTACTTCTAGGTTGAAATTGATTTGACCCTTCAGCAGCACCATTACTACGCTCTGAGCCTTGAGTTCGATTATTCTATGTAAATTTTGATTTATCAGTATTATTAACTTACACTTACGTCGACACTAAATTCAGTATTTTTTTTTTTTTAATATTCTTTAATTCATCATTGTCCCTGTCTTTATCGGTGTTTTTTGATAGCATTGAATATTATGTTAAAAACATATTCTAATCCAAAATTGGAAGATTCGCTTTCATCAGACTCTCCATTATCAAGCTAACTAACATGCTATGCACCGAAATTTTCATTATTATGAACAATAAAATTATTGTCTGGTCAAAAGTTGCGAATGAAAATTTCCGAAAGTCCTTAAATTTTTTTTCCGGCTCGATCTTCATGTCATCAACAATCATGATATATTCTTTAGCACTCTGTAAGATTTTTTTCTGTAAAGCTATGTAAATTGATAATCAAAGTGATACAATTTTATTATTTTATAAATTAAATATTGAATTTTTGGTTGTCACCATGGAATATTCGTGTAACAGCTTAAAGTGTACAGTATGAGAAAAAAATATTCGCGATTTCTAATTTTGAGTTTTATATGAAAAGTATTGTTAATCACATAACGTAAATAAAGATGATTGATAGTATTTTTTTGGTATAAATTAGTTTAAAATTAGAAATTACTATCAGATCTCGATAAGCCTATTTCTGTTTTCGAAATGATTTTGAAAATGATAGCGATAGAAAATAACAATATTTACTAAAAAGGTTTCTTTTTGTGAATACTCGATTAGTTTAGAACATTGATCGAAGATCGGATCGATTTTCCAATCTTTATGTAGGTACCTACGTACGTACGTACGTAGGAAATCAATGTTCTAAACTAATCAAGCATTTGAGTATTAAAGTTTTTTTTGTAAATATTGTTAAACCATTTCGAAAACAGCAATAAAATATTTAGACATCTAGCAAGTGACGGAATCCTAATTGAAAAGGCCATTATGTACATTATTTTTACACAATACATTGATACTTTCACAATTTCTTATTGTCAAAAAAATGAATGTCGAATTGCAAAATTTCTCTACGTACGTGTATAGATTTACATGTATGGGTTTACATGTATAGACTTGACCAAATAAGTCACATTCAATTGTCTTTTGAAAGGCTTTTTTTTGTCTTTAATACAATACTTGAAAGATTATTTAGTGAACAATTGATTCTTGATGTATGCTACGATAAGTAATTTACAATGACATACTATTATAACACATGCAGTATCCTACTCCTAAGTTCGAAATTACTGATAAATTTAAGAGCGAGAATTTTCTTGTTGTTTATTGAAACCTTTTTAAAAAAAGCTGTAGAACAATTAACTTTGAAAGAATGAATATCTTTAGTTAATAATTAAATAATGTACATAATATAAGATTTATATAGTACCATCGTTTTTATTAATCAACCACAATACAGATTTTACGCGCTTGATTACCTTAGAACCTCCAATTATACAATGTAGAGTTTTTTTTACTTTTTAGAGTCATAAAATGAATAAAGAATTTCTTGACTGACGAGTTAAGATGTAACCATTGTCGAAAAAATGATATAATATGACCAAAATTTCGTGTTTTTCGTTTTCAAAAAAAAAACAAATTACTTTTCTTCTTTTTGTAAAAAAAAAAAAAAACTTCACCCATAACTCAACTTTATACTAAAAATCTTTAACGAAAATCACCCATAAATCAACTTTATACTAAAATCTTTAACGAAAAAAAATGGCATTTTCAAGTTATCTTGGATTATCCGTAAATTCCACATCAAGACCTAACAAACTTACAGTTGATAACAATAAAAACGAAATAGATTATTTCTTTGACTATCCACTTGAGGTGGCTCTTCCTCCAATATGTAACTCGGCGGAAGTTAAATTTTCATCTTATATGGGTTTTTCGCGACAAACGAAGAAAGAAAATCGACCAGTAATAACGCATAAAAAAAATAAAGACGATAAAGATCGAATAGACTCTAGTAATGATGTAACAGAGACTTTGAATAATATGTTAATAATTCAAGAGGTTAGTTTTTTTTTTCATCATTATATCAATAATCTCATTGATAATCTCATTGACAATTTCATTGACAACATCGACAATATTAACGATTGTTTAATTTTCCCAGGCTCTAAATAAATTGATTGTTATAAATTTATTCTATATATCGAGAAAAAAACTACTTTCTCAAAAAGTTAAAGAAAAATTTGTTGCAATTTCTGAATTAAGAAAAAACATTGCTATTAATGGTTCGAAAACGCAATTAACTAAGTCTACTTCATATACTTCATATCCTTCATATAACTCTCAATTATGTAATTCTTAAGATTTTTTTGTAATTTGTCACTTTTATTTGTGTAAATAAAATTTGAGCCTCGTGTACAATAAACATTTTTTCATTGATGTTTTTTTTTCTTCAAATTTGAAAATTCCAAATTAGGAATTTATTAAATCAATTTTTAAAGTTTAACTATTATTCTTTTGGAAATTAATTAAGGAGCCCTTTTATTTCTTCTTTAGTAATAATTGTAAGTATTATTGGTCCTGTTCATTTTTCTAGAATTTTAAAAAAGAATCATTACACAAATTAATACAGGTTTTTGATTATGTGCGAATACGTATCCCAAATATTATCCTTTTTCGGACAGAATATCCAAATATACTATCCTGAATAGTCCGGGTTTTCGTCCTCAAAAAAGGCAAAGATATGTAATGGGGGCTTAACAATCGATCGAGGATCTACAAACGCACATATTAGTTGAGGTTTTTGACGAGGCTCTATTAAATTTGCTAATTTTTTCGGCGGGATTTTATGAATATATCCATGTGTGGGCGTATGCACCTATCTTCACTCTTATATAACTTCAATTAATGTGTGCTCTTTGTGTGTCTTTTGTGTGTCATAATTAGTGATTTTCGTTTCATTTCATTAACAAGGATGTTAAGAATTTCCCAATGGCTTATATCGTTATTGTCCGAAGTTGTCGTACCTCGATAAAACGTTTGAATGTAACCAAGTAAATCTGTACCACATAATTCTTTTAGTACAATACAGGACGCTACTCCAGTTTCGTCCCGCCGTCATTGAGTTTAAATACACCTGATTCCTGTAAATTGAAAAAAAAAAAAAATTATCATCTTTTTACTTGGTGCTTTGAGGATTTAATTAATCGCTTTGGAAATTTTGTTTAAATTTCTATATACTTCATATTATAACGATATAAATTATATATTTAATAAGATTATTAATATTAATAGTTTTTAATAATGTCGTCTCAAGATAAACAGGATAAACAAGATAATAATAATACTAAGATATATATTGATCCTAGTCAAAATACTTCCGGATTATTATCCGAAAGTACTGAACATCCTGGTCTTGAATATGCTACACCTGAATCTGTTCAAAAGGATATTCTGGGCGATAATCCTGTCGTCGCTGAGTCTGAAAAAGAAACAATTAAATTCTTTTCGCATCCGATCTCTTTTATCTTAAATACTATTGGCATATTAAAAATGGATAAAACTCACTTTTTGTTATTGTTCATCATCCCTGCCGCGATAATAAAAAGATATTATGTCTGCTTTTTCGCGATCATACCATTATCTAACATAATGACAATAGCTATTGATGACTTAACCGCCAGAGGTAAACCGGTATGTAATTTTTATGCGATTTCCATGTTACTTTTTTTTTCAATTACCTTTTTTAATCCAATTTCGCTATTCGTTTATAGCATTATGCCGCTGTTTTGCACGCTTTTTCTGGAAATTTTGTTGAACTTGTTATCGAAACTGTGGCATTGGTCGACGGAAAATATAATATCGTTCGTTCGGCTGTCTTGGGTTCTATTCTATGCAACATCACTTTGGTTCGTGTATAAATATTATATTAAACTATATATCGTCTTTTTTGATTTGTTCTGATATTTAAGTTTTAGGTTCTTGGTATAGCTTTTTTGGCGGGCGCGTGGCCTTCAGAAAGCCGTCAAAATCGAAGAAGTGAATCTTCCATCCATTTGAAGGACTCTCATTTCAAAGCAAAATTATTTGTGAATACGAGTTCCTCAATATTGGCTCTTTCCGTTCTTGCTTTAGTTATACCTGCTGCATTTAGAATGGCTTCTGTTTCACAAACATCCACCGTTTCTGCTAATATTGATTGTGACATACAAAATATCAGTCATGCAACCGCGATCATCCTTATGACTATATATATTGCATCGTTGGTATTCCAGTTGAAAACCCATGCTAAAGATGTTAGAATTTATTTTATTTTATTTTATTTTATTTTTTTATTTATTTTATTATTCGACGCTGTTTTATCTTATACTATACTATTCTCTTTGTCTAATGATAATTTCTTTCTCGGTATGTTATAGACACTTGCCGCAATGGAATATAAATGCGGTGAGGTTTTATACCATTGGACCTTTGACCTTTTCCTGTAGGCTTTATTTCTCTTTTGATCTTGTTACATGAAATAATTCACTGCATAAATTTAAACAAGTTTTATTTTATAGACTTGCGGGCTCTATAGTCGGTATTACCTTTTTCGCTATGTACTTTGTTAGGGATATCGAAGAATTTGCTGAAACATATAACATTGGAAGTGGTTTTGTTGGAATAGTACTTCTTCCTATTTGCGGTAGCTATATTAATACTGTATATTTGTTCATAACATATATGATTTGCTTGATTTATTTATATTTCTTTAATTTTTTTAGTCGTGAGTAACTTTATTGAGCACTATGAAGCCATCAAAGAAGCTTATGAAGATAAAATTGATACATCTGTCAGCTTGATTCTTAATACCTCTGTGGTAATTTTTTTTTAATATTAAATTTGCTAATTGTCAATTAATTATCTTTTAATATTCTTTAATCTTTTTTTAATCTTCTTTAATATTCTTTTAATATTCTTTTAATGTAGCAAATGGCATTGTTAGTGACTCCTCTGCTTGTTTTAATTGGGTGGGCCATCGGTAGACCATTATCATTGGATTTTAATATTTTGGAAATTTGTGTGTTGGCTGGTGCCGTGTTAATTGTTAATTTCTTGGTAGCGGTATGCTATACATATTTTTCATAATTATATAATGTATATTTATATTTATTTATATTTTTAAATATTAATATTTATATTATTATCTCAACAGGATAATATGGCTACTTGGTTAGAAGGATTTATGCTTATCGTAAGTATACCTTTCAATCTATTTTCAATTTATTTCAATATTTATATCAATATTTATATCAATATTTATTTAATTTATTTTAACAAATTTTAAAACTTTTTTCTCTTATTTTATTATTATTAGGCTTCTTATTTACTTATGGCAGTTACATTCTTTTACTTCCCTAATCAAATAGACAAAGAAGCAGCTTTTTGTAATCCTTTTAGTAGAAATTTATTAATAAATAATACTACAACTGAACATTAAGATAATTAATGTTTATAGCCAACACTTTAGAATTATTTATTTTATAATTTTATACACTGTGTAACTAATAAAAAAAGTATAGTATTTAAATCTATATAGGTAATTATTTTACAAAAAAAAAAACCAATGTAATTTAATTTACTGTAATTAAAAGGAATCAATCAAATTTATTAGAAAGAAAAAACAATTATATATCTTTTTTATACTTGAAATAAATTTAATTATATGTAACTTTTTATTTACAATTAATTATATATACCGTGACAAATTAACTAGTGATTCTAATTGATTAACTGATTAATAATTTATCCGGCCTACTCTGGGCTAGACATATATATGTGCTTAGATGGAACATTACGTAGGATATGCGGTCGATATACATATAAATCAAATCTGTAAATCTGTATATTATCTATTATCTATTATCTATTATATAGATATCTATTATCATCGCTAATTATGCTATAATTTTATGTAGTACGAATAAGGGGGAACTAGGAGCCAAAAAATCCGGATATTCATTTGTCCAATTTTTTAAATCAATCAAAAAAACTCGAATGAATAAAATTTCATTGAATATTCCTAATTTAGTCATCTGAATATCGTAAGATCCTTCCTTATAGTGGCCTACCTCATGATTTAAATTACAAAGACGGGCATAGTGTTCTGCAATGATACATCTTATAATAATTAAAATATATCCCTGAATATTTCTCCAATAATTCATTAATGATATGTCTTCACTTTTTTTCTGGATCAGGTAAGGTAGGTCGAGTGATTTATCAGCGAAGCTAGAGCGACCAAAATTTTTCTTGTTTATATACTTCAGTTTTCGTTAAGTTTTTTGAAATGGTAGAAATAGAATCAGTGAAATTTTTGTCCAGACAATTCGTTTACCTTAGTTCAGTCACGTGTGCGCGACAATTTGTTATTATGCGTCGTTAATTACCATTTTTAATTATGCACGTGAATATCACCTCCTAGACCCAAAATAATAAAAATATGGAGCTTGATAGATTTTTTGTGCAGTGGGGTATAGTTTTCAAGCCACTGATACTGCTTTTGAGGGTTCTCAAACCGCCGAACCTGATTCTTGGAGTTCTCAGGTTGTTCTTTGGGGTTCTGTCACACTCGAGGTTAGCTCGTTGCTAACTGCTCAAAGTACTGAATTCGCCTTACTTTACTGGCAATCATTTCACCGACTGCTCATCAACTATTTACTAAAAATATATACCGATACCTGCAATTGATTAAATGTTAACCCTATGCATTGTCGGTTAAATGAACTTTTGGTGAATCATTGAAGTGAGCAGCACCGCAAAAGATATTAGACTGAGTCCGAACCCCGCTCGTCGAGTCAAAACATTCCATAGTCAAGTCCTATTTAGGTTTATGAGTGCACTTTAACTTTTAATCACGTCTAAAAGTTTCGAGTAACAATTTTTTTTTTCTTTATACAGTACATATTCAGCGAGAAAGAAATTATCTGTGTTATGAAAAATATATAGTTTCTTAATGGTGTAAAGCGAATTGATATCAATTCAAGTAATGGAGATGAAGAAACCCTTGATGAACCAGAGATGAAAAAAGGTACTTAGAATATATGTGATTTTCTATACTTGCTAAGTCTGCACATTATAGGTGACTTTATCTCACAAAAGAACAAGAGAAGTTTTACGCAGGCTATAACTTTTCCCAATTAAAAATGGATTTATTGGACACTATTCAAGCGTAATTTCGATTTCCCACATATTAATATAATATGTCAAAATTGCCTACTACTATACTGTTAGATTGACTTGTAAGATTGATAATTTATATCATCAGAGGCGTGACATTGGTGATTTGGTTATAAAATTGAAAGAATTTATCGTATGTTAGTGAGCTTATGTGCCTCTACCTCACACATAAGTGTCATAACTATAGTTGTCAGACGAAACCTCGAGGTTTCGCGCTGACGAAACGCGAAACCTAGTCGTCTTTCGTTATTTAGACGAAAGGTGACGGAACTGACGAAACTGTGAAGCGTAACAAAACTAATAAAAGACGAATATACAAATAAACGTTGAAAATCATTGAAGATTATGTGTATAAAAAATAATCTAACAAAAAAGTTTTATTGTATAATAGGCGCTTGAATTATTTAAAGGGAGTTAGAAATAAAGTATTCTACACTACACAACAGTTCTAGTGAGAAATCGCTTGGTGTTTACTTTGTGATTTTACAATTTTATTTTGTGCCAGCATGTTTTAATTCATTATTTGTGTTATTGCATGAGTACTTTGGCTTTTGACAAGGTTATTTCAACCGGTCTATAACAACCCTAGTGTTGTCTAGAACAAATAAGCTGGTTTATTTTTGCTGTAATTTCGGATACTGTTCTCTAAATAAATTATAAATGTCAATATCATTTATTTTATTTTATTTTATTTTATTTTTAGCGGGAACATTAGGATTTCGTCAGAAGAATTTGGGGTTTCGACTTTCGTCAGAGGTTTGGGGATTTAGGTTTCGTCTTTCGTCATCATGCAAAAACGGTTTCGTCTAACAACTATAGTCATAACCAGCCTTACCTAAGTTACATCCTTTAAATGATTTTAAACATCTGCAATTATACCAAGCCTCGAATCCGAAATAACTCAGCTTGGGTTTTCATAAATTTTTTTCATGATCTTCAGCCGATTTAAGCCAAGCCTTACATTAAATTAAATAGTTGCTAAAAATATTCTTAATCAAAGTTTTGTTAAAAATTCTAACACAGTTTTTTCTATTCTATTTGATGGACATTTCAAATTTTTCTAAACCTTTGTCTCAACATCTCTTAATTAAAAAGTTTTCTTTATTTAAAATTTTATAGATCTAAAAAAAATTTTATCTAATTTGAATTTTTATTTGTTATATTTCTGTATTTTGTGATTGGTAGAATTAATTCATTAACTCTGGTAAACGTAACTCTGGCTGGTAAACATAATTTTTGGAACAGTAGAAATGATGATAAACATAATTTTGGTAGAATTAATGGTAAATATAATTTTGGTCTATATAGTAAATAATATAATTTGGTAGAATTAATTCGTTAACTCTGGTAAACATAATTTCGGTATAATTAATTCGTTAATACTGGTAGTAGAATTAATCGTCGTGAGGTGCAAAGCGCCCCCATAAATGTGCCGCTGGGAGTATTTATACCTATGGCAGCATCATTAATAATTTGATATATATTATGATTTATATAATATTTAAATAGTAGCTATGTTATATTTGCAACCTTTTCTATTTACTAGTATATACGTTACTATAGCATGGGTTGACTTTTTTAATCTGGCAACATAATGTGAAGAGAAAAATAATTGTCGCAGCTGATGCTGAAAACGGCTGATGTTGAAATTCACGTGATCATCCGATGATCATTTGTTCTCGGTATGTCGACTTGTCAAATGAGGTGCGTCGACTTGTCCAACTGGCTAAGGTTAACAATTAGGTGGCCGGATTTTGTATTGCCGGTAATTTCTAAATTAAGGTTAGATTTTCATA